CCGGCGGCCCAGTCCCCGACGGCGCGCTCGCCTTCTTCTTCTTCTTCTTCCGCCGCCCCCTGCCCCTTCCCCAACGGCGCCGCCTCGGTGCTCCCGCGACCCCTTTACTACGCCACCAGCCCCTTTTACCCCGGCTACACGAACTACGCTTCCTTCGGACACCTTCACGGCAACGCGGCCCCCCCGGCGGGCGCCCCCAGCCCCCACTTTAACGGATTAAACCAGAGCCTTTTGAACAGAGCCGAAAGCTTGGCGAAAGACGCGAAAATGCTCCGAAATCAGAGCCACTACGACTTTAGCAAAGAGTCGCCTTACGAACTCAAAAAAGGTATGTCGCACATTTAATCTCCGGCTTGAGCGCAGCTCCGAGAAGACTTGGGGACTTTGGGATTCGGGCCCGCCCTTGATTCGAGGGAAGAGAAAGTTGCACCCCCATTCCTCCCCCCACCCCCACCCCCTTCCGCCGCTCTTTCGGTGATTTTTTTTTCCCCCTTTCCATTTTTTTTTCTCCTTTTTTTTAAATCGTGGGCGATTTTTCGACGTTTCTTTCCAATCGACCCCGGTCTTGATGGGGTGTTTTTTTTTTTGCCCTCCATCCGGTGCCAAAAGGGGGGGAGAGAAAGGGTGAAAGAGAAAGAAAGAGAGAGAGAGCGAACGAAAGAGAGCGTGAGAAAGAAAGAAAGAGAAAGAGAGAGAGAGAGAAAGAGAAAGAAAGAAAGAAAAAGAAAGAAAGAAAGAAAGAAAGAGAAAGAAAGAAAGAAAGAAAGAAAGAAAGAAAGAAAGAAAGAAAGAAAGAAAGAAAGAAAGAAAAATTTAAAAAAAGAAAGTACGTTCTGGCCGGTTTCCCAATCAGCTTTATAATTTATTTGAAAACGCAGCTTTTAGAAGTCTTACACAGAACTTGCAAGACGTGATGGCTATGTGGAGAAACTCTCGCACGCGGGGGGGGGGGGAGAAACCAGAGACTATTTGTATGAAATCTTATTCTGTATATTTAATGTAGCTTTTTTTTGTATTTAAATCGGTTATACGGTATCTTTGAAGTAAATTATGAAATGCAACCACTTGTACAGCCACCATGTCGCTTTTTGGTCCTCTATAGTTATCTATAAATATAGATATACACACATACACACACACACACGTGCGTTGGTGACTTCTCCCGAATTGTTTTATATACGCGCCTGTGTGTTTGTGTATCTATCTGCATATTGAATTATTAGTAGCAGAATATTATCTGAAATTAATAGCTTTCCATGCGGAAAGCTAGTCAGACTGTGCTATTGGGTATATAAATCACAGACGCCCCCTCAGTCCAGTGTGAAGTCAAACCATAGATTTATTTTTATATGCATTAAAATGGAGAGAAAAAAAATACATTTTGAAAAGGAAAGAAATACCGACCATTTTTTTTTTGCGGGGGGGGGGGGGGGCAATCCGAATGCAACAAAGAAAGAAAAAAAGGGGGGAACGAACAAAGGAAATATTCTAATGAATTCTTCCACCTTATTTAGGATGAGACCGCGAACAATTATCATTATTGCCAGTAGCCGGAAAGTAAATTTTGGGTTGTTTGTAGTACCAGATTTGGGGAAAGTTGACCAAGTAATGGATTTTTGTGGCTGTGTGTGTGTGTGTGTAAGGGGCCAGTGACGTTTTTGAGAGATATTTCACCGGGGCGGATTTTACACAGGCCAAGGGACTCTTCAAATTGTGCTGATTTCAATTTGAAATGATAGCCCCCCCCCCCAAAGCCACATCATCTGAAACGGCCTGGGGGCTACTACCGTTTTGGTCGTGTGAACGCGGTGGCCCAGCCTCAGATTTCCACTTCTGATACGATCTGGGCAAGATTTTGAGGGTGAGTCGCTTCTTGGGAACCGACGGGGGTGCCCGCTCCGGGACGCCGGCCCCCTGCCTAAATTTGGGGGTCGTTGGGGGGTGGGTGGGGGGGAGGGAAGAAGCGCTGCAAGACGGGCTAAAAACGGAAGAAGCCGACGCTTTTTTAAAAAGAATTCTTTAGGCGGATTCTTTGGGAATCTCCCCCCCCCCAAAAAAGGAGTGCCGTCTTTTAATTTAATCCTCCCCCCCCCCTCCCCCGATCTCTGCCGGCCTTTCTACGGAGTCTTTTGCCCGCGAAGGAGGTTCGATTTGACAGCCGATTTCTCTCTAGCGGTTTCTCTGCGCTAGAATACACGGAGGAGCCGCGAGGTTGTGTGAATCCGTGCCCGCGTGGGCTGGAGCGCCGTTCCTTTCCTTGCTCGCTGCCGTACCTCTCTCTCTTTCTCTCTCCCTCTGGGGTCCGGCTCAACTTTGCAAAATCGGGGAGGGGGGGAGAGCGGCTGAAACGATTGCGCCCTCCGCCCCATTAGCTCCATCCCGCCCCAGGCGCGGACGGGGACTTCTGCGGGGGGGGGGGAGCGCGCGCAGATGAGTGCGAGTAAATGGAGGGCGAGTAGGGTCGCCTTGGACCGCTTCCCAAATTCACAGGTAGGTGTCAGACTTGTACCGAATTTCAAACGGAGCCCTTCCGACTCCGCGCAAGGGAGACAGGGCCCAGGTTACACACACACACACACACACACACACACACACACACACACACACACACACAAACACAAACCGTCCCCTCTCCGTGCCTCCCCCCCCCCGCCCCCGAAATAATGGAACTAAAAAGAAGCGCCGTTGCCATCCAGTTCTCTCCAACGGCAGGTTGAGACTGGAAGGGAGAGGGAGATCCGAAAGATAAATCTCCGATTTATTTAATCGTTTTGAACAGGGCAAACGTTAACCCTTTCGGTTCTTATTTAACCTCTCTCTCTCTCTCTCTCTCTCTCTCTCTCTCTCTCTCTCTCTCTCTCTCACACACACACACACACACACACACACACACACACACTGTGCAAGATCATCTGAGGCCCCCCAGTTGCCTTTCGGCTCTTCTGCTCACTTTTTTACTGAGAGGGGCGCAGGTCGGAACCTCAAGGTTTTATGCGCCCCCCTCCCCCAAACCCCTTTGAGGGCAATCCCCAGGCCTTCTCAGAGGCTTTATCTATTTATTTCACCGAAGGGAGGGGAAAAGACCAAACGCAGGCCCGGAAGACCGTCTTTACAATATTGAATATTAAGTTGAGAGGTGATCAAAAATGAAGTCCGGGTTGTTTTGTGGCCTGGTTTGACCCCTCTATTTGTGGGTCTGTTTTCCTCCCGTCCGCCTCCCCCGCAGATCATTTAAATAGCAAATGTTTCTTGGAGACCACAAATGCTTGCTCCTTCCTAAGTTTAGAAGGAAGGCTGAAAACCATTCGTTCTTTTCCTGGAAACAAGAGAAAAAAAGGAAGGGAGAAGAGGAAGGAAGGAAGGAGAGAGAGAGAGAGAGAGAGAGAGAGAGAGAGAGAGAGAGAGAGAGAGAGAGAGAGAGAGAGAGAGAGGGAAAGGAAAGGAAAGGAAAGGAAAGGAAAGGATCTTCTTCCAGAAGATGGGGTGATCTTGTGTGTTAAGGGGTCCGGCTGGGGCCCCAAAGAAACAGAAGGAAGAGGAACCATGGCCCTTGCAAATAGATCCCAGTAGAGGCGGATCCCAGCCTCGGTTAATTCTACTGGGATCTATTCTTAAGGAAATAGATCTGTGCTTCTTTCCCTTAAGGCCACGGCCTTAGAGACGCCGCTTTACTTGAGAGTAAACCTCCATTGGGTTGAACGTCTGGCGGCCGGGTCTGAAGTTTGTCTTGGCTTCGTGTGTAGAAGGAGACGAGCCAACACCCTCGGTGTGCAAAATAGGTCCGAACGCCGTCGCAGTTAGCTCTAAATAGTCCTAGCTTAGGGTAGCACGACTCCTGGCGTGTGAGTGTGGCGCGCGTGTAAAATAACCCCAGTTAGTTCCCTTGGAGTAAAGAAGCAGAGGACCGGGCGCCTTCGGGCCTTCGTCCCCGCCTCCCTGCTTTAGGATCCACAATGGATTTCCGCACCCCCAAAAAAGTGACCCAGGAAGCAACGCCGCTCTTGTGCAAGGAGAGTTGGGCCGCTCTTGTACAAGGAGAGTTGGGCGGTTGTCGGTTCCTGGCAACTTTAGCCGCCCCTTTCGTTGCTCTGGGGCGTTTCTGGGGACCACGGAGGTCCCTTGGCTCGTTGAGATCCTTCGCGTGTCCACTCGGCGTTTGCGCGCTTATCCTAAGACGGGGAAATGCTCCGCGGTGGCTTCAAACGGTCCCCCCGACCCGCCTAATGAGCTGTTAATTAGCTGAGCCTCGGCTGTTCAACTGTCCAAACTACCCCATGCGTCCCACCCGCTCTTTCCCTAACTCTCAGGGTGGCTGTGAAGCCATTTGTCACACCAGCACAATGCCGGGTCGGGTTCCCACGACGCAGGGACTTGCAATTTCCTCCCCCCACCACCCCAGGTTCAACCTAAAACGTTGTGGGGCCGAAGCGCTGCAGGTTACGTTCGGGCCCAGCACCACCTCCTCTTCCTCCTCCTCCTCGGACTATTTGAGTCAACCGGGATTCAGTGAACCCCGAGTTAAAGGAGTGTGGGAACGCAGAGCTATTTCAACCTGCAAACCGGCTTTAAAGACATTTTACACTAGTTGGAGCTGCACAGGAGCGGCGTTGTCCAGACTATTCTGATCTGTTTATACAAATTTAAAGAAGGACCCGCAAAGCAATGGCCAAACCGGTTGTCTAAAAAGTGTGAGAAAAGACGCGGGGGGAGGGGAGAGGAGGGGAGGGAAGGGGGGAGCCAGTAGCCAAAGGAAACATACAGGCCTGCAGAATTCGGCTCCGTCCCAAGCGAACCGGATGGGTTTGCTTTCTCCCTTCAAGGGAGGGAAACCCCGCCTTTCTCCGAAGGAACGAGGGGGTGACCTGCATCCAGTGGCAATTCAGACGGACACCTTGGGAGCCCAAAGTCAAGCTGTTTAAAACAAATTATAAAAAAAAAATATATAGTACCGGCGCGCGTTTGAATGCGAAGGGATGTTGCAAAAGGAAGCGCGTTTAACTTCGCGGTTGCTTGTCCCGGTAGGGAACGGAGTGGGTGTACCCTTCCTTTCCAAATTCGGGGAAATTACTCAAAAAACCCAGAGGGCAAGATTGGTGGTACCCAGGAAAGCCCGGGAAACTTTTGCATATAATAAGATGCGTATTAAATAGCTCTTATTATAGCCGTCTGCGTTGAATGTGTGTTTTGATTTGTATCACGCCTGTATTATTATTTTTTTTTACAAATAACTCAAGGCGTTGAACTATCCAAAACACCTTCCTCCTCCTCCTCTTGTTTCCCCCGCCACAACAACCCTTGCGAGGGGAGTTGGGCAGAGCGAGAGTGACTGGCCCAAGATCCCCCAGCTGGCTGTCATGGCTAAAACGAGACTCGAACCCAGGAC